GTGCCCGAGGCAGTCGGAGAATGGCTGGGCTGAGAACGACAGGGGAGTTTCCTACTGCTTTGGCCCGGATGCGGTGCAGCAGTTTCTACGCAAGCAAAGTTTGAGAATTCAGAGCTCAGCTTGCAAGCAAGACCTAAGAATCCTTTCAATATGGAGGCTCCTTCTTGTAATAGTGTTAGGAGCGATGACTTCTTGCGGCTGTTGAGAAGTTCATTCTTCAGGGCTTGCAAGATTCGTAACACCAATGCTAGCATGTCGAAAGGAAAGAGAAATGGGGAATGAACTGGGAACAGAGCTCTAAAACACAACAGCCCTGCGTGACACATGAGGCGTCTGAATATAAGTATATATATATATACACACACAGCACGTCGACATGACTTCATGTTTTGACAAGGAGGCCCACCACAAAAGGGGCACACCAGTCTGATACCCCAAGGGTCATGTGGTTCGAACCGGATGCGCAGCACGCACCAGAAAATAAACGCGAATGCGCCATGATGTCCCGTATAGGCATACACGCCATGTACAACTTGTATCAACTTGTAATCATCTATCTACAGCTCCCACAGTATAACACTGGGGACTTCCTCAACCCTAAACTCCTAGACCCAAAGCACGCTGGCATGTCTCTAGGAGCCCTTTTCGGCTTTCAATTTCGTTAATTAGGTATGCAATGCCAGTTGATATCTTTTGTAGTCTGTTCTATTTGGTGTTGTAGATGAGGCTGTTGTTTCGCAAAGTGCCTTATCAACCTATTGACGTGGAGGGGGGGTGCTTCAGGCGCCTTTTTGGTAACCATTCTCCTTATGTCCTTTGCATTGGCCCTTCACAGCCCTTGACCCTGGGCCCGGGCCCTAAACCGTATCGTACTGGGGCTTAGTAGGGAATGAGAGAATATAACATGTAGGGATCATATTCCCTTACTTCCTACTTTTGCCCTTAACCCTAAATCTCCTGAAGGTTTGTCAGCCAGATGGGACTGGACATGATTGTACGGAGCCATCAGGTCGTCCAGGAGGGCTACGATTCCTGACATGTTTAGGCTTTAGGCTTTGGAGGTCGGAAAAATGATTGAGTTCCTTTTTAATAGGGGGTTCGTGTTGCAAGGAAAGGGGGTTTTCCAGGCCAGACCCCCTCTTGGTTTGGAATACCCATCTGGCAGCTTCGCCAACTCGAAGCATCTAAGTGCACAAATAGCACAGACCTAGTCCCCAAAAATTTACGTAGGAACCTAGAAGAGCCCAAGGTATGTCAAAAACCGCTTGGGCCAATTGCTATGGTCTATGCTCTTGATCTTGTAGAAACCTTAATCATCACCCACATCCTGGTCCTAGATTCCTTGTCCAATCGTGAAAGAGAGTACCTCAAAAAGACCTCAGTTTTGTACTGGTTGAAGACTCGGCACCAACAGTACTGCATCCATGGTTGATGATTCAAAGTTCAGGTGCAGCCATGAACCTTAAAAACCCCAAACTTTGGGGGGTTTATGGCTACCCTCCCCCAAGGTAACATCGACCCCCAAAAGGGGCCCTACAGCGATTAGCCTAAGCCCTGAAGCCGGGACCCCAAACCCAAGCCTCCGTTACATCCTAGTAGCCGTCTGACCGTCTGCTATCTAATGCGCCCCTCTACACCTTATTCGCACGTAAGAATCGCCTGCATGACCCATGCTGTACGTGGAAATTACATTTATATGGAAAGTGGGTGCATAGAGTGGTTTATAGGGAAAAAGGTATATGAAGTAGGTTTGTTGACTATGGGTTTTAGTGAGTCTTTGTAGGGTTCGTTAGGAAATTGGTGGCTGTTTCATATTTGCATCTATGTCTACATACACAGCACATGGTGTTGATTTTGGGGCACCCTGAATTGGAATCTTACCATCAATGAACGTGGCAAAAAGGTGGGGTAGGGTGGGGTGCAGTGTTTACTATTGGTACGAAGGGATTAAGGCAGCATTAGACGGTAGAAACATGACACCAATAACCTTTTGAAAAGGAATCGAGTGACGCACCCGTAATTACCTTTAACATCCGCAAAAGCAACCCAAACCCTGAACACGAAGTCCGAAACCTTAAAACCCTAAACCTAACGGCCTAAATCCTAACAAACTGTTGCCAGCATACGCTGAGGAGCTGTTTGCAGACAAGAAGTTGGTGACTCTCTGGAGCAACCACTTCCCAAAACAGGGGGCTCTCAGGATTCTTGAAGCGGGCTGGGATATATCAGGGCTTTGGGGTTTAGGGTTTAGGGCTTGGGACTTATTCTTTTACGGCTGCCACGTGCGTCCCACTTTCTGCGCATAAAGTGGGATTAGGGTAAAGAGGTTGACACTGTTTCGTAATGTGGGTGTTTGTCAAAATTATGGTCCCTTTTTGGATCCCTATTATAATACGGCACCTAATTTAGGGTACCCAAAAAGGGACCATAATTTTGACAACCACCCAAATGCTTCAAGTCATTTCCGAGTAGATCCAACAGATAGGGTGCCGGAGCTTGCGATGATCAGGGCACCCTGCAGAGTCCTTTTTTAATCCAAATTCGGGTAATTCTAACCCAACTTTAAACGGTACTATAGGCCCCGTATGGTAGGATAGATTGGCGGTCTACGCAAGCCCACTTTTCCTCGAAGAGCAAGCAAGCTCACGTAGACCTATGATTAATAAACCCCGATATAACCCCCATATACTATATAGCAGTTTCATGTAGTTTCCATTTTTCCATTATCCCTATTAATTATTATCCCTATTAAGGGTCTGGGCTAGGCATCTTCAACTTCAAAGGAGAGATCGGCAATCTGGCGGGGTCCTGAGCACCCTGTTAGGGGTTCATGGGGGTTTAGGGTTTAAGGGGCTTAGGGGTTTGGATTTCGGGTGCTGAGGGCTTGGAATCTGGGCTAAGGGTTGATTTGATTTGGGATTTAGAGTTGGTTGTTCCCCACCCTCGCAGTGGGGTTGTTAGATTTTAAAGTAGATGTTGTCCTCGCCCGACTGGAAGCTGACTTTAGTGACCCACCACCAAGTATCCCTGCAGTTCCCAACCACCAAG